CTACTACTACTACTACTACTACTACTACTACTACTACCGCTACTACTACTACTACTACTACTACTGTTACCACTAATGCTACTGCTACTACTACTAATGCTGTTGCTGCTACTACTACTATTACATTGCTATTACTAGTAGTTGCTACTTCTACTACTGATGCTACTGTGACATTTTCAATAACTGTTGATTCCACTAGATTTGTGTGTATTTTGTTCATTTTAACAGTACGACTCTACACAACCTCAAACTACCATTGGTATGTGAAGGCCGAGCTGCCAGTCATTCCCCTTCAGTCAGCTAGTCTTGACTGTCCCGTACCCATGGTCAGAATGGCTCTGGGTAAAGGACCGGACTTTGGCGCATCCTCCATCGCAGTTGCAACCTCTGTGCCCGACACCTCGGCAGTTTCGCGCACTGAGGTGCGAACTTGGGTGTTTGCAAGCACGGTCAACCGGAGTTGTGTTTCTTCCTCTACCAAGACCAAAACCTCGGCGTCCAGCCTGGTCGCCACAATTGATGCCGGTAAGAGGACGTATCCCATGTTATGCTGCATAACCATACCAGTGCCCACTGGATGTTATCTAGGGGTCCAGTCCTCGAAAATTGCTCAGTTTGTTTTGTCCAAAGAATCCTAAAGTGGTCTTCACGAAGATCTTCAGATGAATTCTTTTTGTTATCTACAGCTCTGCTCAACTTAACAAAAGCATCTAGCCAACAGAATAGAGTACCGCCATCTTCTTGGCGTCCAAAAATAATAATACCAGCATACCTATGTGGTTATGCTGATTTAAGCGGTTATGGTGGTGCTTATTTTAGTGATTTTGGTTTTGTTGGTAGTCGTGTTTTTGTTGATGATAATGGTTTTGGTGGTAATTGTGATGGTTCTGCCATTGACTATTGTTTGTTGGTGTTGGGAGCGACCGATCAGCTAGGCGGTGGCTTGATGCGGGTGGTATACAGAGGGTGAGGTCGATCCTCAGGGCATTTCTTACCTTTTTATAATCAATCTGACGCGCTTGAAACTATCACGGTGCGCTAAAAGCCGCTGTTTGAAAGGTTGCCAACTGACGGGGTAACTCGAACCGTGCGGTCTCTATGACATACCCGCGCACGCGAGAGCCTACTCAGGAAGCTGTGTTGTTGGTGAGCGTATTGGAATGTTGGCCGCGCCAGCCATCTCCGGTCTTGTCGACTTTTGTCTTGACATTAGGTACAGGTGTGGGAGTGCGGCCTCGGTTGGTGTCGAACCCACACAGCAGGGTAGGCTTTTGCGCAGCCAACGCTCTACCATTGAGCTACGAAGCTCACCGCGCGACGTGAATTTAATCACATTTGGGTGGATGCGCTTTCCCAGTTTTACCGCACGTATGAAATACACCAATACGGACGCAGTAAGCTGACTGCCAGGCAGGATTTCCTAAGTAATCGTCTAGAATTCACCATAATGACTACTACATCGGTTTGGAAGATTTAAATAATGGTGGATTCCATTCGAGCAGTAGGTTGGGTAGGTAAATTGACTCATGTGGGATTAAATTCACGGCGAAACTGATATCTATCCTCCCCCGCCCAATCGCTTAACGTATTTTTTGGTGAAACATTTAATTATTGGCTAGTAAACTTAAATTAATGTGTAATTGTGGCGGAAGTGATCAAAAATATTAAATAAGATTATGTTTGTTTTAATATGCCAAAACAGAGTAAATTTCGATCAACACGAACCTCTGTTGCGCAGGTTACGAATGCCAGTTAAGGGAAATTCGACCTTATGAAGGCGGAACTCAACGAAAATGGAAATTCTTCCGCCTATTGGTAGAATTTAACGAAAAAATTCAAAGTTTGGCTCCTGAACATTCAATAGTATTTTTTATTATAAGTTGACGGGATTTTTGCGGTCTCTAAAATAATTCCTGCCGATATCCATAATCGAAAATGGCTGCAATCTTCGACACCATTGAAAAGTAGTCAAATACAGGCCAAGTTGGACTGCTTTCAAAACAGCGCTATCGTTGTGACCTTGTGCCCTCATGACCTCATTGTACTTAAAATAGACAGGGATAAAAAGGTAGTTGAGTACTTTTTTATTATAAGTCGGTGGGATTTTTGAGGCCTCTATAATCACTCCTGCCAAATTCACGGCGTGTAGTGAGCCTTGTAGCTAAATGGTATAGCGTTGGCAGCGCAAAAGCCCTCCCTGCTGTGTGGGTTCGACCCCCACCGAGGCCGCGAATTTTTCACAATTGGGTCAATCGATTTATACCTTTGCTCGCCATTAAAAGCCCTCAGCCTGTTCCAAGTCTTCCTTTCTGATCCAATTCCATACTTGTAAAAATGTTTGACCGTGCGAACGTGTTTGGTTATCTATATAGCATTTCTTTCCAATGAGGTGTTATTTGTATTGATGGTTCTCTCTCATCTGCCATTTACATAGTCGCTCCTTATTTGTACGGGTGTTCACGTTGCTGTAGATGTTGTGCGTCTCACGGACTTCACCCACAGCGTCGTGCCGCCACCAATGTGCGCCACCAAACTCTCTTTCGCCTCTTCGCCCCATCGCGCCTGCGTTGCCGTAGTCTGTCTCCCGGGCCCCTGGGCAACTGCAACAACCGACGACACGCACCGCAACCGCCTGCCCCTTTTTATCCAACTCAATGAAAGTCCTGTCCCAGTCGGCGACAAAGCAAACCCTCCCGTGTCGTCTGCCTCCGCAGACGCCTTCTGGTTGGAGGTTGAGCGTGGTTGGCCCTCGGCGGAGCGTGCCGTAAGCTTGTGTGAGGAACGCCTCAAAGCGGAGCGTGAACAGGCCGCACCGGAGGCAGCTATCTGTCCGAGAGAAGCCTGGCTGTTGACGTGAGTTTCGCATTTAGCCTATCCAGTTCTGGACATACTGTCCCTCAGAACACAATCTCCTTTATATTGTATTCTCCGCGCTAGCCGTCACAGTATGCGGTCCCCTTAATACGCGTTTCTGCCTTAATTGTAGGCCGGACTGCCTCACATACAAGAATGGCGATGCAAGTCCTGCATGGCTGTCCCTCTCCCATCCCGTTTTACATCCGGTTTGGATTGACTTCAACTCCCTGTGTTTCGTTACTAAAACCGGACGTGCCGTGTGCATGCTGACCAAACTGGCCGGGGAGGCGTCGCCAAGGTTTCAAGTCAGGTACGGCCCACAACTTGCATACTATCGGTCCTATATGTACTTCTCTTTGCTTTTACTCTGTCCTCCTTGACACAGTCCATGCCAAACAGCGCCTCCACCTAAATTTAACCAGATTTGCGGATTCTACATTTCGAGTTCTCTTACTTGGAAGCAGTTTTGTGTCATTCTCACATGCCTACTCTCGTAGATGCAAAAGTTAATTAAATATCGACTGAAGTCTTTTCTTTGGTAATCCATAAAGCCTGTAATTACTTTTTTTACTGGTGCTGTGCTACTTGGAATTCATGCTCGCAGATTCTCGTGAGGCGCCAGTTGCCTGCCGCCTGTCTATCAGCCTAGCATATTTTCCCATTCGTGCAGCTAACCTAACTCCTCTCCCTCCTCCTTTTTATCTGTTTTTTTTCACTTATAAGTGTCTGCATAATGATTCTTACTTTTTCACAACGCCTTCTGATTTATATTTCAGTTGTCTGACGACTGTTCAGCCTTCTGACACCCGTCATATTATCGGGCTCGCTAATGGAACCGGTGGGAAATTGGCCATCCAGATGGAAGATGGGGAAGTTTTTACTCTCCTTGTACATAAACAGGAAGGTGAGGACCCTCGCGCTACCATTTCTACCATTTTAGTACTTTGCACGCTTCTCTCCCACCATAAATGTCTTCAGTTTGCAGTTGAAAGTAGAGGCCGCAGGCTATTCACCAAAGAAACCAGAATACTCGCTGTAATCTCACGATGCACATTGTTTTTCCCCTAAAACAGTTTTACTTAAAGACGTTTAGTAGCTTGGAAGACGGGGCTGTCGTTTCCAAGAGTAAGTTGATTGGTCTTACCCTCCTCATACTTCTTAAGGACTTGGAATTTGCCGCTTATTTTTGCTAATTCCTTATTAAGCTGTAGTCCTATACATGCATGGCTAGGGTGGTGATAGCAACCCCAGCTTGTTCATCTCTTGACTATGCTGATTCCCAGCAAGTCCTACAATCGGCTTCGAAGAAATTTTTATGAAGATTACAAAACGAGCCAAAAAGGATAGGAACACTCAGTAATGTAAAATGTTTCTTCTGGTCTCCTTTTCGGAGAAATTGTGTAACATCTTCTAGTTAACTGCAGCGGAAGTTATCTCGA